TATCTTTACAAATGTTGACACAAGCATCTTCACTATTCAATGTTTACAGAAACTACATATATAATTGCAGAAATTTGGAAGCAATGGAAGAGAACCTCAGTAGGTGAACAAATAAATAAACTGTGTATCCACACCATGGAGCTCAGTGACTCAAAGAATGAGCGATTGATCTAGAAAAAGATAGGGAAGGACTAAAGACGCACGCTACTCAGTTAAAGAAGCCATTATGAAAAGGCTTGCACTGTGTATTTTCAACCATGTGACATTGTAGAAAAGGCAGCACTGTAGATCAGTGATTGTCAAGGTTTGGGAAGAGTTACAGAGAGGAATAGATAATGAAAACAGTAAGATGGGGAGAGTGAATAGTCAAAGTCATAATAGAGATTTTTCATTTTTTATTATTTTTATTTTTTATGTGTATGAGTGTATTGCCTGCATGCATGCTGGGTGCTGAGAATCAAACCCCAGTTCTCTGCAAGAGCAGCCAGTGCTCTTGACCACTGAGCCATTTCTCAGCCCTAGATTTTAATTTTTTATATTTAATTATATATGTGGGGGACACATGTCATAGCACACATCTAGAGGTGAAAGGACAACTTTCAGGAGCCGTTTCTCTCTTCCACCATGTGGATCCCAGGGACTGAACTTAGGTTGTCAGAATTAGCAGTAAGTACTCTTACTTGTTGAACCATCTCACCAGCTCTAGATGAGATTTTTCTTTTTTCAGAATTAAAGCTGTGAGTCATCAGATTGAAAAACCACACTGAGTCTCAAATCTAAATTTCAAAAGTGAATCCACATGTAGACTCTACACCAAAGTCAAAATGAAATTAGAAGCAATTTGAGAGCAGATACAGATCATGCAGCAAGAAATGGCAAGAAGCATCGGCTTTCGGAGCAGTTCAGATCAGACAGAAATTGAGTGATGTCTTCAAAAGGTCCAAGAAATATCATTATTAACATGCACCCTCCTATTCAAACCATTCAAAACTGAGAACAAACCAAAGGAGATACACGCTGATTTCATAAAATTTAAAAAGGGATGTTCTTGCAGAAAACCCAAGTTCGAAACCCAGCACCCACATGGCAGCTAAAAGCTGTCTGTAACTCCAGTTCTAGGGGATCTGACAGTGTCTTCTGTCCTCCACAGGCATTGCACAACATGGGTGCACTTACCTACATGTAGGCAATACACGCATACACACATTTAAAAAAAAAAGAATCAATAAAAACATTTAAAGCGTTTTCTTTAGTTTTCTCCAAATGTCTCATCACATTTAGAGATCATGGGCATACATAATGGAGCCATAATTTACATTTAGCATATATGCCTTCTTTGATGAATGATATTCGTGAGAAAGAATTCTTAAGCCTGAATTATATAGTAAGTGCCAGAGTTTAATGAATATAGACAGTTGGTGTAATTACTAGACATTGATATCAGAGAATTTCATCCTAAGTGGTTATTGGATAAAATGCACATAAAATAGGTGAAATAATATTATGCACACCTCCTTTTTTAGTTCCAATGAAAAATTCACCTGTTCCTTTAATCGCCTATTGAAGTGAGGAGGGTGTTCGGTTTGCAAGGTCATTTAGAGCTGAGGTATCTTTTTTCAACTAAAGTTTTGCATCCTAAATTCATTACTTGTGGGTGAGTTTTTGGAGTAATTTTTGATGTTCTAAATAAATGGGAAAGAAGAAACTAATCTATTTGAGATCTAGTATTTGCCAAGCATTTCCTTAATGACAATCAGCAAAAAATAGCAAAGATATTATTTATGAGACTTAATGTACACTAGGAGTTTTAGAGATTTTACAAATATTGATCTCAGGTGGTCCTTACCACAACTCCGTTTATGCACTTCATACACAGGCAAGCTGTGACTACAAGGTCACACAGCTAGTAAATGGTGACATCAGACTGATGCCTTCCCCCATCAGCATTCATGTCCTGCATGAGCCTGGGTGGGTGTGGTGGTGGGGAAGAGGACAAAGGTAACCGTATGGGAAGAACATAACAATGATCAAATCCAGATCAGGAGCTGTAGCAATTTCACCATACCATCTAATTTTATCCTCCCTGTAAAGATATTAGGAAGCTGTTGTCCTTATCAGTTGAGCAACCAAAGGCCAGCCAAGCTCAGAAACTTACCTTAAGGTCACACTGTTGTAAGTTACTCATTTGTTCCCACCTCAGAAGTGTGGAACCCAAGGCACAGGCTCAGGTCCTCACTGCTTGTGGGTGTTGTGTTCTGTGCAGGTGAGATGGAGGAGCTGGAGACACTGTGGCTCACAGGCATCTGCCACAACGAGAAGAACGAGGTAATGAGCAGCCAGCTGGACATCGACAACATGGCGGGTGTGTTCTACATGCTGGCGGCAGCCATGGCTCTCAGCCTCATCACCTTCATCTGGGAGCATCTCTTCTACTGGAAGCTTCGCTTCTGCTTCACTGGCGTGTGTTCTGATCGGCCCGGGCTGCTCTTCTCTATCAGCAGGGTCAGTACCCCAAATAGCTCCTTCCTGGTGCAGCAGGCAGGAATACCACAGGGATTCCAGAGAATCACACTTTGTGTACTTTTGAAAAATTTTTTATTATTTTCATTTTATGTGTATGAGTGTATTGCCTGCATGTATGTAAGTGCACCCATGTCGTGCAATGCCCTTGGAGGTCAGAAGAGGCTGTTGGATCCCCTGGAACTGGAGTTATAGACAGTTGCTAGCTGCTGGGAATCAAACCCAGGTCCTCTGTAAGAGCAGTCACTGCTCTTAACCGCTGAGCCATCTCTTCAGCCCCCACATTGTGTACTTCTCTCTAGGTCTGCACATCGTCCTTGTTGTCCCCTCCTCCACTCTTCTTAAATGTGTCAAAAGGCATCCAGACTTGGCACGTTCCAAGTCAGGGACTGCATATTGAGAATACTATAGAAACCAGAAAGGGGATGAAAATGGGTACAGCAAGTTGGGCATTAGAAAAATTACATAAATGAAATGAAATGTAACAAATCAGCCCAGGTGCCAAAATGAAAGAACAGTATGGATTGCTGGAGTCTGGAAAGTTCCAAATTTATACCAAAAGGGCAGTCATACTGAGCTACTGCTAAGTATTGTCTTATGTAAATATAAATATAGAGTTAATATTATCAGATATTCTGATTTTCAAAAGAGAAAGCATCATCTGGTTGAGTGCGAAATCTTTCCTTTTTAAATATTAGTAAGTAATTCCATAAAAATTTATATAAGCCAAACAAGTGTTCCTTCAATGACCTCCATAATTAGCTGCCAAATATATCATACAACCCTGCTAACATGCCTAGGCAGGTTGCTACAGTGTAGGAGTCCACTGCAATAGAACACACACAACAAAACAACCTACGTGCAACGCTGTGCAATGTGTATAGACCTCTGAAAACATAGAATGAGCACAGTGCAACAGGACCTGAAATGAGATAGAATGTGCCAAAAGAACATTCACACATGTAAGATAGAAAAACAAAATAATACTCAACCCAACATAAACAGCAGCACAGAAGACACACACTGCAGTCAGCTCATGAGCAATACAGAAATGCATCCTCTCCAGCTGTGCAGTATGGCATGGGCGTGTTGCTGTCGATGCTCATGTGACTCATTCATCAATAGTGGGAATGACCATGGAAGCATTTGTATTTATACAGTTTATATGCCCCATGCAACATATTCTTCTTATTGTTTAATATGCAACCAACCATAAGCTAGAATAGTCCTAGACAAAATTCAAATGCAGAGGATGAGGAAAAAGTAGAGTTTAAGAATATATCCTCTGTCACCAAGTCACAGAGGCAGCACAATGGACAGAAGGCTGGAATCTAAATGGGGTGGTGCTAGTCAAGGCCCTCAGCATTGCACAAGCAAGAACCATCAAATACAAACAACACAAGAAATTTGATACAGTCTATACTCCAAGTTTGTATGTACATGCAATTCAGGTAATATATGTTCACACATGCAATGCAACTTAGTCACTTACCTTCATTATAATAAAAGCACATATGTGCATATTGTTGATGTAGTCTATTATCATCTACCCATCACCTATGTATGAACCATCTTCTTATCATGTATCTTATCTAACAGCTATCATTTATCTATCTAGTCACTCATCTCTCTTCTATCTACCTACTTATCTATCTACAGTCTATCATCTATCTATATCATCTATTAACTACCTATTGTCTATCTATTTACCTATCATATAGCTATCTATCTCAGTCATCTATCATCTGTCACACATCAGTCTATGTGCTGGATAGCTTTGTCAACTTGACACACCTGGGTAGAGGAAGCCTCAATTGGAGAATTGCCAATTCTCCATTGGACTGACCTGTGGTCATGTTTATTGGATATTTTCTTGAGTTTTGAGTCATGTTGGAGGACCCAACCCACTGTGGATGGTGCCACCCCTGGGCAGGTTGTTCTGTATTGTGTAAGAAAGCAGGTTGAGCATGGGCCAGGGGAGCAAGCCAGCAAATAGCTTGTTCCATGGCCTGTGTTCCAGCTCCTGCCTCCAGGTTCCTGCTCTGAATTCCTACTTTAGGCTCCCTCAATGATGAACTGTGAGCCAAATAAATCCTTTCCTCCTCAAGTCGGTATTGGTCAGAGTGTTTTGTCACAGCAATTAAAAGCAAACTAGAACAGTCTATCATCTATCAATCATCTATTATCATCTATCAAACTATCAACCTGTCTATAACATCTGCCTACATCTATATCTAGTGTCACCTATCTATCTACCTACTTATCTATTTATCATCTGTTATTATCTATCATCTATGTATTTATAATATATCTTCTTATCCTTTTGTTTATCTACTTATTCATTTCCCATCTTAATAGTAAAAATATCTAGTTTTATATGCTGCTGTTTATTGTGGAAAATGAAATATTCATTTAAAATGAATATGTGTATTCTGAGCACTAGCTGACTTTTAAGAACTTTGGAGATTCAAAGGTACACATTAGCTTAGTGAGGAAGATTTATTTTCTCCATTCAATTGCACTCCAAACTTGGGTTCTATGTAAATACATATTTTCTAATTAGCTTGATGGCATCTAAACACACAAATTGCTTAAAAATAACAAAGTACATGTATATAGCTAGGTATTATGCCAACTTTAAGCTAATTCTCCCAGCCAATTATTAAAGGCTTTTCATATCCAAATGGCTCTGGGATTATCCGTTGCATTTGCTTGTCTATCCCGCTTGTTTTTGGAGCAGCCAGCCAAGTTAGTAGGATCATCATTATGAGAAATGAACTGAATCTTGCATCCTTTCCAAGCTTCTTACAGGATGGGAACCGAGAGAAACTAGGGAATGCAGGAGCAGCTTCACTGTTGTTGCTACGTGGCTGACTGGAATTTGAACTTCTCTCCCTCTCCCCAGGGAAGGGGGACCCCTAATGCTGTGGGAACAATGGAGAGGCTTTGAGGCACCGTTGATGCTATATTCTCAAAGGCCTCAAGATTCCCACTTGAGTAATGGCTTTCCTTCTCCCCCAGTACTATTTGTCTTTTAAAATCAGTGCAGCCTGGTGAGTATGAATAAGAAGGCCCCATTCTTTGCACTCCCCTGCCTCTTTCATGTATTAGAGAAGCTCGCAGTAGGCTCAGCCCTGGTGCTGTATGCATCAGGGCTCTAGATTGCTGCCAAAGGGGGGAAAAACTTCTACTTTCAGACCAAAGGCTACCAGGACTTCCTAAACCCCCCACCTTTGTCCCCTCACAAGTATGTCACCTTGCATGTGTGCTAGCTCACTCAGCAAAAAGACTGCACACTGAGACAAGTGCATTCAAACCCAACCTACAGTGGGGAGTTCCCAGCAATGGCAAATTGCACCTACTGTGTAGATAATGGCTGGGGACAGATGTTTCCTGTGTTGTCTCTGCTCATCACAACTCCCTATGAGATTGGCTTGATCACATTCATCTTCTGGATGGGGCCCCAAGGGTTAGAATGAGGCATTTTTTATCTCATCTTACTTTTCCTTGAAATTATCAGGGCTCTTCTCATTTCATCCATCAGGCCATAAAAGGGCATATTGAGCTGGGAAGATGGGTCAGTTAGTAAAGTACTTGTCTTGAAAGCATGAGGTCCTGAGTTCAATCCTCAGAACCTATACTGGAAAAAAAAATACAAACAAAACAAAACAACAACAACAACCAGGTTTGTAATCCTAATACCAGGAAGGCAGAGACAGACAGATCCCTAGGGCTCCCTGGCCTCCACTTTAGCATATTTGGTGAGTTTAGGCCAATAAAAGACTGCCTCAAAAAACAAAAACAAAAAGTAGGTGGGCAGCTCCTGAGGAGAGACACCCGATGTTATTCTCTGGCCTCCACACATACGCACACACACAGAGCATGCTCTGTTTGTAACATAGTTGGGCCACATGCAGTAGCAAACTTCAGAGCTTAGACCTCTTTGAAAGGGTGCTGATCCACGATGCTCTGATACGTATATTTCTACCAAGGGAGGTGTCTCCTGAACAGAGGATGGATCTCTTAGTCACCAGCTCTTTTACAGCAAAATGACCATGAAGGCTTAGACAGAAAGCAATCACCACGGAGTAGGCACACATAGCCCTCCTTGTGGGCTCTGTGTCTCTGAGAAGCTCCTGGAAAATTCAACACAGATTCCAACTTGACACACATGCATCCCTGGTACTGCCAAGAGAGATAACGAGAGCTCAAAGAAGACAGTTATTAAGGCCTGGAACCAAGCTTCTCCCATCGCTGTCCCTTACACAAATGCATCTTCTAGTCTGCGAAATGTTCTTTAGTTTCCTCTCCAAAATATTTCCCCTCACATTAATAAATTTCTCATTCTCTCCAGCCAAAAGAACTATGTTGAGTGTCTCCTGAAAAGTGAGTAAAGGGAGACTTAGTAAAACTAAACCCGGGGGATAGGAACTGCAGCTGCTCTAATGAGACAGAATGAAAGATACTTCTTCTAACCCTCCATGAAGACCAACAGAAGTCAGTCATTTTAGGGATCCACCCAGGCTAGAAGGGACCAAGGAAAGTAGAGCCCTTGCCCCACTGAAGATGTTTTTAGGAGTCTAGGGGAGCAAAACAAATTGTCCAGAATATGTGGATCCCACTGAGAGGGCACATTTTTTTCCATAGTTCATAGAATGTTATCGAGATCTATGAGTAACAGAGAAGAGAAAATAGAGAAATGGCTACACAGGGAAGGAGGAAACTCCAGCCTGGGATTTATTTGGCTCCATAGGTAGGGGTTGGCTTGCCTTGCTAACTAGAAAACCAAAGCAGCTTTCCAGAAAAACTCAGTAGCAGCGACATGTAGCACGCACCTTCTCTGCAGTTCTGACAAGATGAGCATTGTGCTTTCACCTGGTGTGCATGGAAAAAATAACATAAAACAGACCAGAGGTGACTAGACAGCTTATCCAGTCATTATTTTAACCTTGCCTTTGTACTCGCCAGAGGAGGATATGATTCCCATTTCACAGCTGGGAAAATAGGGTAAGAGTTTCTCCAAAGTCACAAAGCTAATGAATGATGGAGCTGGAACGCAAGTCCACTGGCCTCTCACCCATCTTGTTATTTCCCTCCCCACCCACATCTGTTGTAAGATGGATCAACTCAGATGGAGGATACTGTTGTGAAAACCTGAGGCTAGGCTGATCCCATTACGTTGCCTCTGCTCTGTGGTCCCACCAGGCAGGTCAACTGCTTACCTATCTTATATCAGTCCCAGGGAAACCAGGGAGGAAGAGGAAGCTGCAGCAACCTCCTTGACGTTTCCTGCATCACAGATCAACTCTGACGATGAGTGTGAGCTTCCACCAAACACAGTCAGCAGTTCAACCTAGTAGAAGGAAGCATGTTGCTCCGAAGGTGACCAGTGCAAAGAAGTCTTTCCATTCTCCTGAAGGATCTTGTTAGAATAAAATTGCCAGTTTAGAGAGAAGAGTTAAGACTACCTTTTCCACAACATGCAAGGGGAGGAGACAGATTTCAGCTGATTCTGACATACAGGGAACACTGACTTTTCACCCATAGGAGTGGAACCCCTCTAGACCTGATATAAGGATTACTGAATGGAAGGGGTATACTAATATGTCAGGTTCTGTAAAATGCGCGGCATGTTTGCGTGTTTCAAATATTCCCGGTCTGAGTTTCCAGCAGCCCTGGAAGCAAGGGAGGAAGTATGTGTTTATGACAAGATAGTCAACCACTCAGGACACAGATAAAAAGACTGAAAAGAAGGAAAGGAGGAAGAGGGAGGGAGGAAGGGAGGAAAGAAGGCAGGGAAGAGAGGGAGGGAGGAGGGAAGGAAGGAAAAGAGAGAAGGAGGGAGGGAAAGAGGGAAGGAAGGGATAGGAAGGAACAAAGGATGGAAGGGAGGAAGGGAGGAAGGAAGTAAAGAAAGAAGGAAGGAATAGAAGGGAGGAAGGAAAGAAGAAGGAAGGAGAGAAAGAGTAGGCACGCTGTCAGCCCCACGCGGGTGCTGTACTTGGGAACCTTAACCACAAAGCAGAGATTGAGAGGACCCAAGCAAAATATACTCAAACTCCCAGTGGTTGGATTTCCTGCTTAGCATTCGGGGAAGGGGTAGAAACTGTCTTTAGAAGGTAAAGCGCAGCTGTGAAAACAAGCTAAGGTTCCACAATTTCAAGAGTATTCCACACAGGCTAAGCTCTGCAGTTCTCTGAGCATCCCTCTGGGAGTTAAGCTAGTGTCTGCCATGGGGGTCAGTGGACCCACCCTGATCAGAGTCCACACATAAACTTTCCTCATGCTTTATGCCGAAGTCAGCAACAGCTGCTGAATCTGCCTTGCAAATCCCTTCTTAGGATGGCTTCCTGGCGGTCTGGGAAGGAAGGGGGTGGATTCAATTCTGTAGGCTTAATCCAATTGCTTACTTTAGGTATGGCTGCCAAAATCTGCATATGGGTAGGGAAAAGCCAGGAGGCCACAGATTCAAAGGTTATTGACATTCTGGGAGTCCAAATCAAGAGATCATCCCTTGAGAACAGCAAAACAACTTCTTTTACCTAAAAATTGTTTTTTTGTTTTTTTTTTTAAGAAAAGAAAAAAGCATGAAAAATGAGGAGACTTAAAGATAGGTGTGGTCATATCTCCATTTCCCAGGATTCCTTGATATCATTAGTTCCCTGGATGTATTTAAAGGCATGTCACCAGGCCTATCAAAAAATCTAGTTCTAATTGCATTGAACGAACAAGAAGTCCAAGAGAATGGCTACAGCCTCACACCATGTCTCTCTCTTTCCCTTGGGCACTGAGGCGGTGTCCATCTCAGGCTGATATTCCCAAATGAGATCAAGACTTGTCCCTAAACTCCTCCCACCTGAGCATCTATATCTACCCCTCAGTGGAAAGCGTGATTTCCCTCACACCGACTTCATCCTTTCTTATCTTTATTTCATTTCTTTTTCTTTCTTTTCCTTTCTTCTTCTTCTTCTTCTTCTTCTTCTTCTTCTTCTTCTTCTTCTTCTTCTTCTTCTTCTTCTTCTTCTTCTTCTTCTTCTTTTTTGGTTTTAAGACGGTCTCACTATACAGACCAAGCTAGCTTTGAATTTATAATATTCCTGACAGCCTCTTGAGTGCTGGGATTACAGGCCTGCGCCAATTTGCCTGACTGTTCCTTCCTTTAGGGTAGTCAGTGTACCCATTGAGGGGAGATTTTCTGATTGACTTCTTGCATGGATCACATGCCTTTCATTGCTAGCTTCGGCACAAGGGTAGAAGTAATTCAGGTAATTTGTGGAAAGGATGAATCATTGCTGATCTCTTCATGCTGATTTGTTTGTCATGAGCCAGTTTTCTAGTATTTAAACTTCAGAGATGATGTGGGAACCTCCAACGAGAGTCTGAGCTGGTTCTGGGTTTGGGGCAGGCCAGTAAAATATCTTTATGTGCCACTGTGGAGGTACAAAGGTGTTGATGGTTATAGAAGTATCAACTGACACCAGTTCTCAAACTCCATGTGTGACTGTTTGCAAAGGTGTCAAATCATCTTGGGTCAGGCCAATAAGATAAAGCTGATCATTTTGTGGCTTTTCTCTGGGACATGTAAACAAACATCTCTTCGCCCTAGGCACCGAGGGCAGATCAGAGAAACGACTCCATCCAAGTCTAATTTAGTAAAACCATTGAGTTTATTGGGTTACTTGAAGATTATGGGTGAGGGGTTACTTACAGGAGCAGGGATGACCCAAAGGCAGCTGCATCACCAAAAAGCCCACTTAGTATGGGTGACAACTGATGAAATTTGCATTGGGGAAGCTTCCTGCACCACCCGCAGGCAGCTCTACTAATCAGAGCTTCCTCTCCCCAGTAATCTTTACTGTTTGTATAACCTTGGGGGAGGGACCTTGTGGATCTTATAAGATTCAGGAGATTCCTCCTAAGTTTTGTTTACTTCCTAAGTAATGGCATGTTTCAATTTGGAAGAAAGAGCTATACTGCACTGATGCATTACAATCTGTCTCATGTATTGAATGAAAATAACCAGGATTCAGAATGAATTTCATAATTTCTCCAGGGTTCCCACAAGAAATGTGTGTCTCACCTTTATAGGTAAGGCTCAGGTCAGTTGTGACTTGACACTAATATCTGCTGCTGATGAGTGTTTTGTGTTCCTCCCTCACAGGGCATCTACAGTTGCATCCACGGAGTGCACATTGAAGAAAAGAAGAAATCCCCAGACTTCAATCTGACTGGGTCACAGAGCAATATGCTAAAGCTCCTTCGGTCAGCAAAGAACATTTCAAACATGTCCAACATGAACTCCTCAAGAATGGACTCACCCAAAAGAACTGCTGACTTCATCCAAAGAGGGTCCCTTATCATGGACATGGTTTCGGACAAGGGGAATCTGATATACTCAGACAACAGGTCCTTCCAGGGGAAGGACAGCATTTTTGGGGACAACATGAATGAACTCCAAACATTTGTGGCCAATAGGCACAAGGATAACCTCAGTAACTATGTGTTCCAAGGACAACACCCTCTCACTCTCAATGAGTCCAATCCTAACACCGTAGAGGTGGCTGTCAGCACGGAATCCAAAGGAAACTCCCGACCACGGCAGCTTTGGAAGAAATCCATGGAGTCTCTACGCCAGGATTCTCTGAACCAGAACCCAGTCTCCCAGAGGGATGAAAAGACTGCAGAGAACAGGACTCATTCCCTAAAGAGTCCCAGGTATCTTCCAGAAGAGGTGGCCCACTCTGACATTTCAGAAACTTCCAGCCGGGCCACATGCCACAGGGAACCTGATAATAATAAGAACCACAAGACCAAGGATAATTTTAAAAGATCAATGGCCTCCAAATACCCCAAGGACTGTAGCGAAGTTGAACGTACCTACCTGAAAACCAAAGCAAGCTCCCCCAGGGATAAGATCTACACCATTGATGGTGAGAAGGAGCCCAGTTTCCACTTAGATCCTCCACAATTTGTTGAGAATATAGCCCTCCCTGAGAATGTGGGCTTCCCAGATACTTACCAGGATCACAATGAGAACTTCCGCAAGGGAGACTCCACCCTGCCCATGAACAGGAACCCCCTACACAATGAAGATGGGCTTCCCAACAACGACCAGTATAAACTCTATGCCAAGCATTTCACCTTGAAAGACAAGGGTTCCCCTCACAGTGAGGGCAGTGATCGATACAGGCAGAACTCCACACACTGCAGAAGCTGCCTTTCAAACCTGCCCACCTATTCAGGCCACTTTACCATGAGGTCTCCTTTCAAGTGTGATGCCTGTCTGCGGATGGGGAACCTCTATGACATTGATGAAGACCAGATGCTTCAGGAGACAGGCAATCCGGCTACCCAGGACGTCTACCAGCAAGACTGGTCACAGAACAACACCCTCCAGTTGCAGAAGAACAAGCTGAGGATCAGCCGACAGCATTCCTATGATAACATTCTTGACAAACCCAGGGAGATAGACCTTAGCAGGCCCTCCCGGAGCATAAGCCTCAAGGACAGGGAACGGCTACTGGAGGGCAATTTATATGGGAGCCTGTTCAGTGTCCCCTCAAGCAAACTCTTGGGGAACAAAAGCTCTCTTTTCCCCCAAGGTCTGGAGGACAGCAAAAGAAGCAAGTCTCTCTTGCCAGACCACACCTCCGATAACCCTTTCCTCCACACCTACGGGGATGACCAACGCTTAGTTATTGGGAGATGTCCCTCGGACCCTTACAAACACTCACTGTCATCACAGGCAGTAAATGACAGCTATCTTCGATCATCCTTGAGGTCAACAGCATCATATTGCTCCAGGGACAGTCGGGGCCACAGCGATGTGTATATTTCAGAGCATGTTATGCCTTATGCTGCCAATAAGAATAATATGTACTCTACCCCCAGGGTTTTAAACTCCTGCAGCAATAGACGCGTGTACAAGAAAATGCCTAGTATCGAATCTGATGTTTAAAAATCTTCCATTAATGTTTTATCTATAGGGAAACATGTGGAATGGCCATCGTTCTGGAGGGTAAATGTTGGATGTCCAATAGCACCCTGCTAGGAGGAAGAAGACTTAGGGAGGTACTTTTTTGTTGGCTCTTTTTGCACATGGCTCCATGCCATAATCTTCCACTCAAGGAATCTTGTTAGGTGTGCACTGAGCACATAACAGAGAGGTGAGTTCTTAACCAAAAAAGAAATATGGGCAAGTCTCCTAGACATGCCTGTTGGGTATGTTGGCAATAGTGGTATATTGGATGGTGACAGTGATGTTATGATTTCCTATATTCCAAATTCCAGGAAGATAATCCACCATGTAATTTCCCCATCAGAAATGCCTCCTGATTTCTCTAATACAGAATAAGCAATATGGTATGCATGTAAGTCTGACACAGATAATAAGACAGTTAAGAATGCATCTGCACTGTAGTGAGATTGACATGTGCAAGGATTAAGAAGTTTGGCTTGTAACAGTTCTCAGCTTTCTTGTTATGCCTTCCATCACCACCTAGGCCCAGCTCCCAAGAAGTCCAGGCTCCCTGCCCCAAAAGAATAGCAAGTCAGTGTGTTCATGGTACCCATGCTGCTTTCATTACAGTCTGTCCCCAGGATGCCTCTGGAGAAAAAAAAGCCACAGGGACTCTCAGGCAGAGAGCTACAGGAGTCTCTTTGGCTGTTATTGTATGTGTAGCTCTCCCCCTCAGCTTCAGTGGTCTTGTCCAGAGCTGTACAAACTAACACATTTGTGTCTTTGATATCTAAGCGTGGATCTTCTGTCTATGACATAGTGGCTGTTGTAGCTTATCCTGAAGACTCTTATGTTTGTAAATTTGCGTTCCCTCCCTTCTGGTGATGACTCAGGGTTGTATAGTATCTCTTACCCAACCCCTTCCAGAGTAATTGTAACTTGTCTGTCCCCAAACAGCCATGGTGGTGTCTAATTAGCTGTGTGTTGCTGTTCCCAGAGTTGCTAATACGGTGACATGTGCCAGCAGCCATATGTATACTGTGATCTGTAAGAAGTGCCATGCCATCTGTCTGCCCAAGGCTAGCATGGCTCTATGTTTCTCTTCCTTAATGTCAGGAAATGCTCTTGGACACTTATTTCTACCCAAACCTCCTCAAATAAAAAGCCTTCAAGCATTAAAGCCGCTCATGCATCTACCCTGAGCACCCTTGAAACTTTGGGTAAACTAAGTAAGATAAGTGATTTCTCTCTTCTGAAATATTCACTTTTTTGGCAAACCTCTTCCCCAGCACCAACAGAAATAGATGAAAACTCTTCAATGCATTTGTCATTCCTGAGTCCCTGCCTGATCTTATTCTTGGTCTACTCAAACCTGTGCATGTATGATATGGAAGACAGTCATTATTTTGAAAAAGTTGGAGACAGTGAGGGGATTGTTCATGAATGGAAAATATCTTAGCATCATACCTGTCACACTTAAAAAATGACCCAAAATATAGTTCTGGTATCTGATTAGAACAGGATTTTTCAACTGCAAAATTTAAATATCATAAAGAAGCAAATAATATGAACTAAACATTTTATGTTCCTTCTCTACTGATTGGTATATTTTCAATACATTTATGTCCTTGAAATAGTTTGGCTAGCTGGACATGATGTTTTGTAGGGGACTTCAGTCCAGTTGGTGACGTGCTCGTGTGAAGGAGTCTAGCCATTTCCTGCTTTTCTTTTTCCTGAAATTTGATTTGGGGGTCTCGAAGATGGGGACAGAGTGGCAGGTTGAAAAATGATCCTGTATTTTTTTCCTCATGGTGTGCTCTATTTCATAGGTGGTATTTTCCTGTAATCGAGCAGGTGGCGGGGAAGATTCTCTTAGAGCTTGAGAATGCATTGAATGAAGTTATCTGTGGGAAAGTGCAGCTGACAAGCAATATTCCTACAATGATGAAAAGTGATTGCGATAAATTTGAGTGCCAGTGACAAAGCAGCAGAGGGAGGCGTGGGGGTGAGGACATCTTTCCTTTTGTCTTCAAAATACAGAAGGGGCTAAGGTGGTGCCCATGACAGATAAGCCTAAAAATTATATCTTCTTTTCTTTCTTGGATCCTATATCTTTTGCCGCCCCCAAATCCCAGCAATAGAGAAACCTAGATTTTAAAACCTGTAAAAGTCACCCCAATTTCTGATCTTAAATTTAACTTTCTGTGTATGTGGAGTCTTTTAGCTCCTTCTGTCTTTGCTTTCTCGTTGCATTCCAGACCTGCATTTCTCCTGCCAGGTCCACTGCCCTGTCCTCTCAGATCTGCCTGGATGGACATGGAATGATTTAAAGAGGTCTCCCTAGAATACAGAACAGTGACATGCCATAAATTCAAAGAACTTTCTGTTTGCCTCAGAAGTCCTTGAAACCCAGGGAGCCATCAAATGCCACAGAATCTCTAGGAAGAGTGCAAATCACCACACATCAAAACCCCTTCTATTAATAACAATGCTATTTTTATTATTAACCCCATGTGTGCCTGGTAAAGAAATTAAAATGAGGCTTTTGGAAGAACCAATCATATAATGGGAACGAATACATTTTTTAAATACAAAGTTTTTTCAGAAAATAAGTCATTGGTAGTTAGGGGCTGTGTAGTAAACACTTCCTTTTCCTCCTTCACTAATTCAGTGACTCTTAAATGTTATGATTTGAAGGAAGAAAATCTGCCACTGATGAGATGATCAGTTTCCCAGTGAAAGATAATCCTGTAGACCTATTTAATGGTAGTCCAAATGAATTCCATTCTTTGCAAAAACTAATACTAGGGTTGGGCATGGTGGCACACGCCTTTAATTTCACCACTCAGGAGACAGAGGCAGGCTAATCTCTGTGAGATCAAGGCCAGCCTGGTTTACATAATGAGTTCCAGGTGAAGTCAGCTGGAACTACAAGGAGACCCTGTCTCAAAAAACCAATAGTAGTAGTAGTAGTAATAATAATAATAATAATAATAATAATAATAGGAATGTAGTGCTCATGCCAAATGGCACCTAAACAGGAAACCATGATCATTTACAGAGTGTTCCTGTGCTAAATCCAGACTCTGAGATCTTAGATCTGCTGTTGCCAAGAAGCCAGTACCTCTGCACCAAAATGCTTGAATTTTCCCTGACATGAACCAGGCTGCCATCCACAGTAATTTCAACAGCTTCAAGTGATTTTCTCCTTTTGGAAAAGACTAACTGGTCCTCAGACAGAACACCTGGATCCAAACAGTCAGGCTTCCACCTTTGCACATGCAACTGATTTAAAATACCCTGCATAAGAAAGGCTGCCAGGGCATGACCCCCTGACTCTGCCAAACCTCAATGTTCTAGAAAATATTTCCATTGTTCTTAAATCTATAAATTTTTAGGTCACTTCTGGTTTCGATGTTGCAAGAAAACAAGTCCCCAGCTAAATAGCGACTATTTCATGTTACATGCTTGGTTTTCCCTTCCCTGCCTCTCAGGGTACTTGAGAAGACTTAATATTTAGTTTTTCTAGTGGAAGCATTAAAATTCATCCATTGCAGCAAAATCTGTCAAATCAATTCACGCTTATTTTCTGGGGAGAGCAAAAGAAAATTACACCTTGTTTACAAATGAAATAGTTTCATTTAAATGGGACGTTAGCCAAGGCGGTTAATTAGTCAAAAGATCCACAGTAGTCACACAGTCACACGTTGTTATTCTATTTGATGTGTCTACTGCTGATGTGTATTTAATATTCTGCATCTTTCTCAGGAAGTGACAAATGCCCTGAATTCTTTGCAAATAGAATTGCTAATGAAAAAGAAAAGTTGGTGTTAATTCAATGGTGATTAAAAATTTATCTCCTTTAAACCTAAAAAGTGAAGCTTTAATAATCAGTTGTCATATCAATAAATACACTGCCCTGAAATCCCTTGCAGTTTAAGACTTAAATAAATACTAATTTGAGAAACCTAAATATCTTTCAGAGGAGCTGAATATATTTGTTAACACGATGCACATTCCTGTATTGTTTCTTTGTACAGAGCTGTTGTGCGTGGATCCTTGAGAAAGGGACATAAGTTATTTCCAAGTTAAAATTAGTTTGTACTAACCATGGCTATAATAGACCTAACTGAACTTCAGTAAGTATAATTTTAAAAGGAGGAAGCAAAGTTTATCAGTCAATATGTAATATTAATTCAGAATTCTATAGAAGATCCCTCCTCCTTCCAAAAGCATTGCTTACTTTTACTTCAGTCAAAATTTGGGGCCAGACAATGGCTCAGTGGTTAAGAGGTCTCACTGTTCTTACAGAGGGTCCAGATTTGGTTCTCAGCATCCACATTGGGTGGCCCACAACTGCTTGTAACTCCAGTTTCAGAGGATTCGATGCCCTCTTCTGGTCTCTGCAGGTACACACACACACACACACACACACACACAGACATACACATACATGCAAATAAAAATAAAGAATAAGTATATAAAAAACCTATAACAAAATCATTTCAAACATGAAATATTAAAAGCATATTTACCCTCTGAAAATCAGAAATATGACAATGGTAGCCACCATCATTTAACATATGAAGTTCTATTCAACCCTGTCATAGAGGTTCTAGGTAGCTCAATACGTGATTAAGAGAAAGGTTATAGAGCTGGGCATGGTGGCACAAACTTTAGTCCAGTACTCAGGAAGCAGAGGCAGGAGGATCTCTGTGAGTTTGAGACCAGCCTGGTGTATACATATAAATAATTAAATAAATTTTTGGCCTTATCCAGATACTTTCCTCTTCTTTTGGTTAAATAGGACTGAAAGCACTCATTGAGAGTTTATGTGAGATCTCTATTTGAAAAACTTGCTACTATGGAGTTGTCCTCTTCAATTCAGCCTCTTTCCTTGTACTGTGTTCATCTCTAATTGTCTCTGACGAGATCAGACTGCTACAGATCAGAGATGATCAAATGCACTTCTGTGAGTACTGTTGCTCATGTACACATGTATATACTATACATGCTTGATTTCTAAAATTCACACTAAGTGTATTATTCAAATACACCTGTACATACTGTAAAGTTTATGTTAAAATTTAACAGTGGTGATGGTGATGGTGTGAGTATGTGGAAAGCCTACTCTGGTTGTTTTGATTGGAGGATATCTGTGTAGAGAAGGCACTATATTATTTTAAATCTCAGTTTTAGGGATGATGACAGGGCTCAAGAGGATTTAAGCACTGGTGTTATTGACTCCTTCAAAAACAAAACTCTGCGGAGAGGGGTAATATATGCTGCTCATAGTTACTTTTCAATATGATGCTGATGTGGATTTCCATGTAAAGTTATTTGTAAATGCATCAAAAGGCAAATGTTTCCTATTTAAATTCCTTCTCTCCCTCTTTACTCTTTCTGTGCCGAGAAATACTCTCGGTAAGTACAAGATGCCTGTGGAGAAGGATCTTAGATTACATAGACTTTGTGGAATAACATTAAGACTTGGGGGGAGGGGGAAGGAAATGAGAAGGTAATGGGTGACAAGGGACAGTAATTGTCTAAGGTAAAATCAGAAAGCTTGGGGGCTGGGGCTGGAACCCAGGACTCCACTGTCTGATTTCTGGCTTGGTTCCCTTTACCAGGCTGATATGTCTCCAGGTTTTCTTTAGGAAGACATTCCTGAGTTCTTCAGGCATAAGATAGAGAACCCCATGTAACTGACCTGGTTTTCTTTGCCTCCTGTCCTGTGCAGATCCAAGCATCACTCTTTGATTTTGGGTTTTCTTTAAGCTCTTTTGCAATCCCTCATTTTCTCAGGGTCCTGGAGAATAAAGGACCTTTCTTCAGGGAGCTTTTCTCTAGAAAGGATCAACAAAGGATACAGTTTAAACCCTCAAACCAAAGATGACAGCTTGCAGCAAACCTCTGACTATTATGTACTGTTGAACAAGACATACCAATCAACCCGCAGGACGAGACTGGGTAACCATCCTCTTCTGAAGTGCAGTTTGAGGTTGGGGGGCTGCAAAGGGAATGGAAATTGGAATCTTTTCCTGTAGGCAGTTCATGGTCTAGAAATTCAATTCCCAAATACAAAGATAACCAAGGACCACAAAACGCAGACACAGATTAAACAGTAAAAAGTAGAAATGGCCAAAAACATGGTTGTCAGGAAATTAAAAATTAATCTGATTTTATAAGGAAAACTTAAAAAAGAGTTCACAGGTTTTGAAGAAGCTTTGGAGAATAGATTTGGTGCTTCTGAAAATGTCTTTGATTTATCTGAACCTTCAAAGAAGATGAAGGAGAAACCCAAGTATCCAAACAGGCGAACAAACTTGCCCTTCCATATTTCTTTTACAAAAGTGGACTTGGGTCTGGCTGCAACTAATTATCTACCCCTTACCAAATCATGCCTCAAATGCTTCAAAAAGGGTTGGAAAAAATCCCTCTTGGAAAATAGACCATGATACAAAAAAAAAAAAAAAAAAAAAAAAAAAAAAGTTCCCTGAAAGGTTTTCTGTTTGATTTCCTTTTGACTTGTGAAGAGCACTTTTGATAGTTCAGGATATGAAATGATTCAGGGAAGAGAATAAGGAGCGCTTTAAGGAGTCCCAAGTGCCTACTGTTGTGGCTGGTGTAAGAAGGTGTCAGGTTCCCTCGGGAGAAGCCTAGCAAGGATGCAACAAAGGGAATCTAGGTGTGTTTCAGGAAGGATGCGGGAGTAGAAAGACTGGGGGAGGGAGGTTCTGTTACAATCTGTATACCATTCTATGCAGTGCTAGAAGGATGCTAGATTCTCTGATTATGACAAGAATGTGCTGCGGGTCAGCATCTGAATCTGGAAATATTGAACTATGTCTACATTTAACACAGGGTATATCCTAGGCAAATCCTAGGATGTGATCCTCAAAATAATCATAGAATTTAAGCTTGATTGCTCCTATTTTGCAGATAAGGAAACTGAGGCTCAGATTGCTCTCAGCCTTGTCAGCATAAAGATTAGCTAATAAATCCCTAATGCAAGACATAGTCTCTCAAAGTGCCCAATCTCCAAGGAGGTCAGAATAGAAATCAGGAAGAGATTTGTTATTTTGAGGTGCCCAGGATTTCCCTTGAGTGCCCTATCCAGGTTGCCTGGTTTGGGGTGTATCAAGAACTCCTGCTGACCCCTCCCTTGTTCACAGTCCCTTCTAAAACTGGGATACCATTTGTGTCTCTCCTACTCCGTGTGCTTGCACTCAGCATTAATGTTATTTCTTGCTCCTGGGAACTTATCTTCTCTTAGCATGTGCCTAATCTTAAATATCTCTTTCCTAATTGCTTTTCTTTTTAAATTATTGGCATCAGGGCTAATACCACTAAACATATATGTACATAGTATTCTTTCATAGGTGTGTGGACACCATCACACACAAACACGCATGCACGCACATACACACACTGCCTTGCAGTCCTCCATCAAAGCTCTCCCAAACATTGTGACCCATTTTTAAATGGGATGCTATTCGTAAATTCATTGTTCCTCCTATTTCACCTGTGTTGCTGATCTTTGCCAGGTAGACAGAATGAGGTTCAGAGGTAAGACAAGGAATAGAGAGTAATTTTTGCATGAATAACTGAGCGCGTTTGCTGTTGGAATGTTTGAGGGCCAGCTGTTAAAACTGTTATTGTTTTCCTTCTTCATCTGTTCTGCTTTTTAAATTGCCTTAGAAATGCTCTCCTGGTCATTAGTATCAGGATAGCTGTTAATGCACCAACACTTGTTCACTTTATCCCACAGAAGCATATTGAACTGGGATATTTCTACTGGGCTTTCTAGGAACCCAGAGGGTCATGGTGTTTAACATGCCCTGAA